CTACAATTGAGCTGAGCAATCCTTTCTACACAGCCATGGAGGACTGGTTTCATTGTCTTTAATCAGCAACAGATTACAAGAGTTTTGTTCCTCCTAATTTAATAATGGTTGAAGTCTGTTACTGAAGCCAAACTCTTCCAAATATTTTAGACACTGTTGATTAAATATTATTCTCCCAATGTTAAAAGCTGGCAGTATGAAGTTACAGTGAAAATGGCATCCTTCCAGGCCCCTGAGAAGTCTCTGAGGAGGCAAGCAGTATCATCTTAATTTTTGTAAAGCTGTTCTCCCTCCCCTTCCCTTTCCCCTCCCTCAAAGGTTTAGGTTTGAGCCGAGGATTTTATACCTTAACTCAAAAGAACGAACACACTCCTTTGGGAACACTTCCAACCTTTCTTTGATACCTGAGAAGGGATTGTTAATTTCTCTTAAATGTGACCTGCAAACAAAGGAAAGGATATGCTTTTGCCATCTACTTCCTCTCTTCACTGTTTATTAAGTCCACAAACACTTGTTTGCTTGAGGTTTTGAGGTAGCTGTCTGGCACTTTCAAGTTCTAGATGTTGCCAAGCTTGCTTTTTCTTTTTTCTTTTTTTTTCTTCCCCCCACCCCCCACCCCACCCCGGAGCTCTCCCTGGGGAACAGAAATTCAAACATTCAGATTTGGGAAAGTCAGAAATGAGTGATAGGAAATGTCCCCTTCTTCTTGTTTTACACGTGTCTGTTGAACAATGTAAAACAGTCTTCCTGCCATCTCCCACCAACTACCTGTCCCTTTGGTTATTAGAGCTTCACTTTTGCTGTCATTTGGGTTTCACTAGTCCTAGTAGGCATCCAAACCATGTTTTGAAATATTCCATGAATACAAGCAGCTAGGGAAAACGGGATTCCTGTAAAAACAAATAGTTCTAAAAGAAGTATTTGATACACAGATAGACAGACATATGAAATCAATTTACAGCATAGGGAAAAAAGTGTGTAATGATTTAGTGCATTCACATTTGCATCTAGGTACCTTTTCACTCCGTACATATGAGATTTAAACAGGTACATACCAATTTTCTCTCAAGAAGGTAGATAGCTTATAAATACTGCATCTGGGTAGCAATTGGGACTAAATCCACACTCAGCTCTTCACACCACAGCATATGTGGGCTAAGTTCATTAAGGGAAATTAAAAAAAAAAAAAAAGGAATTCAACTTTGCACTTTTTTTTCCTAAAGGGAAACTTTTGCTTTGAAGGGTATAAAGCAGCAGATTGCTTAAGCAGAACAAAATGTTAAAACTTTCAAGGCTCTCTACAGTAATCCTAGAAAAAATACTATTGAGAGTCTTCAGGGTTTGAGGTTGGTTGTTTTGATCAGCTAAACATTTAGTTTGATATTTTCAGGATTTTTTTACAGACTAATATTGAGTGACTACATTGTTTGCAAAAAACTTCATCAAGGTTAGTTTTTTAATTCTTGAATGCTTGGAAAACAGTCAGAGTTTGAATAAAAATGCTTCACTTAAACAAATCCCTCACTGAGGACATAAGGAGTCATAGAAATGTATTCAATTCACCATGTCAAGCACCCAATCAGCGCCAGATTTTACTGTTACCTCCCCAAACACTAATTGAGCTCTACTGTGAGTGTGCATTGCCTTTATTCATGTAATAAAAAAGGACTTTTCCCACAGAGGCCCCTTCTCTTTTCAGTGCACTGATTAGACCAGAGCATTACCCAACCTGAGATGACCTACCAAGACCTGTTGGTTCTTTTTTAATCACTCTTTTTAACTGGTTTGGAAGATGGTCAAAACATAGTCAGCTGAGCTAATCCCCGAATTACCCCATTCCCAAATTCAGCACTAATGGCAACACCTTACTCATGGCAGCTCCTTGTACATGTTTTTGTATACCAGAAGGCAGCGGCACTGGACAGTGCAGTAGAACACAGTACCATGTTACCAGCTGCTTCATTGTCATAACAAGCATTGCTTGAGAGATTATAACACCTTGAAGGGTCCTACCTGACCTTTCTGCAAAGCTTTAATTCAAATTGAAATATTTGAGGTGATGATACTTCGAACAGACAAAAAGAAAAAAAAAAAAGGAATTGAAGCATTTCCTTTCATTTTTCCAAGCTTTCCCATTGGTGGGAAAGGAAGCATTCAACTTCCAGAGAGAGGTCGTGTAACCCAGACCTACCAGTTGTATGCGACAACACCGCATTTCTCTTTACCTGGCACAAGTGTGGCTAGCGCTACTCAGAGTCATGCCTGTTCAGTCCATCATGTGCTGAAGCCCTGAATGCGTGATTTTTTCCATGCAGCAACACAGAATCACAGAATTGCTGAGGTTGGAAAAGACCTATAAAATCACCTGGTCCAACCGTGAACCCAACACTACCCAGATGGGGGTGTCATTCAACGATCTGGCATGTTTCTACTCTACATCTACACACCAGAGGAAGAATGGAGGGGTCTACTGCCACTGAGCTTTTTACTGCCATTTTTCATGGTCACTAAACAAAAAGAGGAAGTTAGGAAGCAAGTTGTTGCCTGTTACCCCTGCCACAGACATAATCTACCCCAATACCTCCCCTGCCCACTGAATGATGCTTCTACAAGGAAATTTTCTTTCCATATGTATTCTAGTGAGGTGTAACACAAAGGCAATTCTGAACATCCTGTGAGAGAGTCACTTTATTGCAAAATGGGTATCATCAAGTAGAAAATTTACATTTCACAGAGTTCAGCTCTTGAAAGAAATGTACAAACCATGTTTCATCTGTAGAATGGACAACATGAAACTGAGGGCAAGACTGGCCAACTGGCTGAGGGGTGCTCAGCTTGTAAAATATGAGTGAAGAGTCCTTCAATATTTATATTATCCAGAGTATTGTTTCAGTCAAGTACCACACAACATGAAACACTTCACTACCTTTACCTAGTATATTTTACACCTGTAGGGTTTTTTTTGTTTACCTGAGGTTTCTGTTATTTAGGCCGTAAAGGATAAGGATCTTGTAAACAATGAGGCTGTATTATGGGGTTGATAGATGACAGTATTCTGACCTTTCTCCTGAACAGGTTGTTAAAAATAACAGATAAGGGCTAGGTTTTGATAGGCAGAGATCTCATCGCTTCAAAGCTTTGGGAAATTAATCATCTTTTCAATTTAGAACTGTTTTGAAGCAACTTGAATACAGAGAAGCCACTCTGTGGAGGCATCTTTTGCTTTGAGATTTTTATACCATTTGCTTATGTACTTTTGATGCATTTTGATTGAATCACTCCTGATTATTGCATTTAACAATACTATGAATGAGAAGGGAAATGTTTTCTTACACTCTAATTGCTGTGTAAGTACAGGGTTTACTTCACCTATTTCTGCATCTCATCTTGTTTGATCAACCCCGTGAATCTTCTACATAGCATATTCAAAATCCGACTCGCCCACTTATCAATGAATTGCTGGCAAAGTTCCTACTATCAAATGGCACGTCTGCAAATGATGACAAGAAGTCAAAATTTTTCCACTAAAAGCAGCAGTTTCAATCTCCCTTATACTTAGGGGGCAAAAAGGTTTTGCATTCACAAACATATGGCGTCAGCTCTAAGAAAGTTCACTGTAATTTTCTAAAATGAAATACGAAGGAAAAAATTTCACTGTTGCATTTAATCTTAACATTAAATTCTGTGTTTGGGCAGATGGGATTGGTTATTTTATTCAGCATTAAAATATAATTTCCATGACCCTGAAAAGGTGGAGGGAAGGAAGTGATATTGGGAGACGCTTTCATGGGTCTTTGTTTTAAAATACAAACATTACATGGCAAGCATGGCCACAGTACAAATCATGGCTCTGCCACTGCCTCACTAAATGAGTTCCAAAGTCCTAATCTCTCTCCCTCTCTATCAACATCCTCACCTGAAAAACTGTAATAGTATTTCCTTACTTCAGAGAAGTGCTGTAAAGCTTATTTAGTAAAATATTTGCTCAGGGCTCAGAAAATACTAAGCTTTAGATATTATAAATTATGTGCTAATTTCTCTTAAGCTGCAGTAAAGCCTGAGTGAAGTACTTTGTAGGAAATTCTCACTGTGCACTTCTGTAGTTAATTTTGGACAAGGTTATCTACATAAGAGCACTGTATAGTAAAAGAATCACTTGCAGCTTAGCATGTTCTTTTTAAAGAATTACTTGTTAGCTCTGCTATACCTAACACTGATTATTAAGAAATCTAACTGCATGTCAAGTAGTAGTCCCTATACTTAGAAAAAAAAATCTGGATCTATAAGAATCTGCATTTAAAAGATCTGTAAGAATTATTTATTGCTATTTCTTGCTTTCCAGGCTTTGGTTGAGAGAAATTGTGCAGAACTCTCCCTGCAGTTAAGGACTGTGATAGAAACTGGTGACAGAAACTGACTGAGGAAACTGTTTTTTCCTACAGCTCTAGCTCGGCAAACACTGAGCAGGGGACCATGTCCCTCCTCATTAAGGCAGCATTTAAGCATGTGATTAACCTGCAGAACGTGTTCCATTCCCAAAAGCACATGGATAAATGCTGTCTTGGAAAAGGACCATGAATAGACATAATTTGTCATTGTCCCTTAGGCACGTTGTTTGGATTCATGTAACACGTCAACCAAACCACAGTTCTGTGTCTGTCGGTGAGTGGTGACTGACCTCATGCTACTGACCACTCTAATGATCCACCCCTCCGCATTATTTGATTATTGTACAATATATGCAAAGTATCTAAGAAGCATCCCCCTCCTTCCCAAGCCCTCATGAGATGTGGTTGATTAGGAGTCATCTCCCAGTTTTCATTCAGTGATCTTGCGTAAATGCTTTTCTGCATGCGGTCCAGAAAGCTGTCTTGCGAGAGATTTCTGATGTCATAGATGTTGAATACCTCATCACTTCTGGCTTGCAGCTTCCTTGGCCAAAGCAGCTAGTTCTTAGGTGCTTTGTGAAGAAGTCTGGGCATCATATTTCCTAAAACTGTGGTTACGAAAAGATTCCCTGCAATAAAATGGATCCATAAATAAAACTGGCAAACGAAAAGGAAACCGAGAAATACCTGCCTTGGGAAAAGGAGCAGCTGACAAATCATCAGCTGAAACACATTACATGTTGGCAGGTCAGAAGCACATTCCTTCATCTATTCCCACCCCACACTGGGTACAGTGGCTGTGTGAAGAAGCAGGTATTCATAAGTAAAGAGCACAGGTTGAGACCCCTCTGAATCAGTTTTGGGACTAAACCAGATTATGTCCTGGGAGTGAAAGGATAACTCTTACTCCATGCTGGCTAACACCACAGGGTGCCATGCATTCAAAACAAACACATGCGTATTCTGTCTCCTTCCTGGCTTCAAATGTTAAAGAAATGGCAGGATGCTTCTAATATCTTTTCATGAGGGGGACAGGGGGAATTCTTCTCTAATGATGCATTAAAATGTCATTAAGTCCCTTACTCCAGGAATGAGCAACTTGAAAAACACAGTTAATACCACATTCAAGTCCAGTGGAAGTCAGCAGACTTCTTTAATCACGTACAAACTTGGCAGTATATATCATGGCCTGTTTTTAGCTGCCAGTAAAGCCGTGCCTTCTTCCTTGCAAAACTGGCATCTTTTTGTACAGCTACAACAGATAGCCCTGCCCTAACTGTACCTTGTGCTATGGACTTTCACTACAGGTTTGTACAGCTCTGGAATCTTCCTCTCAATCATGGGCCTGAGGTTCTCCTTCAGCTTCCCGTAGTTCTTTCTGAGCTCTAGCTGATATTCCCGCTGGTCAGCAGTAATAAGGCGCTTGTTTTTCTCCACTGCTTCACCACACCTAGGCAAAAGGAAATTAAAAAAGTATTGACCTGTATCATCTACTTCTGTTAAACTCATTAACTTTGTGTTAGGTAGTCTGAATGGCCAAGGATCCAGCTCTGCTGGGCTAGGCATTTCTTTGGTAACTCGTCAAGTCCAAAATGATAACGAACGAATAAGAAACTTCTGTCTTTTCCAAGTACACAGACTGAGATAATATTTTTAAGATACTGCAAATGCATGAGCAAGCTAATAAAAACCAGAACAAATTTAATGACTACAGAATACTGAGCTACCTGCTTACTTACTGTAAATAGATGCAGTGTCAACAACCGTTGTCGAGGCTGTATCATCTTCTGCATAAGGCTCATTTTTATTTAACTGAAACATCTCCTTCATCAGTTATGCTTTGTTTGGACAAGGGAGATGCGTATCTTGCTACGTGAGTATTCTTGTTAAGATTTACAAGCATACCTAAAGCAAAGTCCATATGTGTCTACCACTACCAATGTGTCTGCTTGACAGATAGGGTAAAATGTTTTCTTATAAACAGCTTCCTACATAAAAATGTCATTTTATTAGAAATAAAATCAAGCCGTTAGTCTGAAATGCTTGATTTCTGTAAAATGTCAAAAGATAAAACAAATGAAGATCTAAGTTTCTACATGATTAGTTTGAAGTGTTAAAATTTGCTCCCATTTGGCACAACAAGCCTACCAAAGCCTTGACCATGAAGCAAACATAGTAAGTCTGGACCAAGTTTCTAAAATGTGAGATTCCAGGATGCTAACCTTCATAATTAATTACATAGTTCCACTACTGTTGCATTACTGCTATTGTTGGCTTTATTGATGCAATTCGGCATTTTAATTTTGTTTTACTGACCTCATTATAAACTCTTTGAAGCACAACCTCAGCTTGTTGTGACGTCGATAAAGTTTGGGGTCTGCTGGAATATCAGCCAGGAACACTTGCGCTACCTCTAGCGGCCCCTGATGGGAATAACACAGGAAAATGTCAAAAACACCAGCCCAGACTGCAAGCAGACCAAACGTTTGGTTAATCTGTTTGTTATTTTGTAAGTGGAATTATGGAAAAAAAAGAAAAAAAAGAAAAAAAAGAAAAATATGCATAGTCAGCACAACAGGATGTTTTTTTGCTCCACTGTGTCCCCCGCCTCAACCTCCCACCCCGATTTTTCCTTTGGTGAACAGAGTATTTTGCCAATCGTATTTTGTCCTCTCCTGTTTTCATTTCTCGTCCAGCCGCACAAAAAAGGGAACAGACAAACTCTGCTCAGCAGAGAAGAGCTGGGATAGCTCTACTGCCAATCCTGGTTACATGGGGGAAAAACAGCTCCAATATGTGGCATTACAAGACCCCAAGGGAGTTAAGTAAGCCCAGTTCAGAAAAGGAACACTCTTTTTTTTTTTTCTTGCAACAGTGTGTAATGGCAGACCAGAGGCTTAGGTTGATGGAGAATCTAAGGCATTTAAGATTATTTAGCTTTCAGCAAAGAAACCAAGCTCTGTGAAATTGTGAATAATGCCAAGTTTTCTCTCAGTTACATCTTCATTCTTTAATTTTTTTTAATTGCCTTTTTGTTTTGTTTTGTTATCAGGCATATCTGTGTTACTGCATCTCAACATTCTTTTGAGGCACTTAGGTTGTAACTTCACGTATTTTCTGTGAAACTGAGTTTTCAGTGGTCCCACAAAAGAACTGTTACAATTATTCCCATTCCCCAAGGATACATCTCAAGTGAACAAAATGGCTGAGATGTCTAATGTGCTAGAAATGGAAAGTCCTTGGATACTTTCCCAGAGCTTCTGTGAGTTTCTGCACCTACAATCCAGACAAGCACTTCCACGAGCACTTCCACCAAAAGCATACCTCCTGAACAGTACACAATGACTAAATAATAAGGAATGAAGTTTAAATGCACACTGTGACTAAATGTGTCTGACTAGATGTACTTACCCAAGTGCAAGAGATAAGAGTGAAAAAGAAAGCACAATGAGAAAAATATGCAGAAACTTTTCATTTGGCCTAGTTGTGTGCCTTACCTGATTTACAGTGGCTCCAACTGAGCCCTGCAAAACCATCTGAAGCATTTTGGCATCTGGTGGTTCTTGGTTAGTGGCTGCAGTTAGCTCCTGTGTTTTTTTCTGCATATCTTCAATAGCAACTTCAATTGGGGTTAAAATAAACTAATGAAAATGAAAGAAAGATGCTTCATTACTTGAAACATGCATGCAGCTGCCTTGTTATAAATCTGGCAATACTGCTATCATTCTCCTGTGACAAAAGCAGTAGCTCTGAAACCCAGAAAGACTGTTCAATCTAAATGTCATCTTGGAAAATGCTGCATTTGATCCAAAACTCTCTGGCATCTTATCATTTGCAAGAACAGGATGTGGATCTCCCTCCCTGTTTGCATAAATTAATTATTATTCTAAGTTACTGACTTGATGCCTGAAATGGTTTTGCACTTTCTATCTTTATAAAGCTTCCTTGTCTATAAACCAGCTCTGAGCCCAATTAAGTTCTTTGACTGTACTTAATCAGGTAGAAGAGCAGCCATGATAGAGTTCTACACACCCACCTGCACAGCATTACAACTGGGAGGTGAAGAGAAGAATACACTTGCTAGCCTCTCTTCGCCATAGTAAATACGTCTTGTATTTGTCTACCCATTCTATGCCATTCCTATTTATGAGAGTAACCTGTCTGAGAAATTCAGCCTTCTGTATTTTCTGCCAAGCAGAGCATTTGAGTAACTTCCCACCAGAGACTCCTTCAGCCCCTGAGAAGTAAGGTCTGTCCTCAATGCTGAATTACCTCTTCTTTTTGGATGACGTTGATTCTAGTTTTGATGTAGGGGAAAGCATGCATTGTGGTTAGGATGGTGTTCCTCTTGTATTGCTCGCTAAGCTCTCCTCTGGGGCGCCCATCCATGGTGAAAGGTGTAGTGTACATGAACCGAGAGAGGTTGAAGTTTTTCTCAAAATAGGTTACCCTGTCTTTCTTCTCATACTCATCAAAATATGGCTCCACAAAAGTGATCTGTATGTATGCCTGAGGAAAGAGGGAAGAATCATTACAGTTCTTTACAACCCAAGAAGTGTAAAGGGAACGGCATACACGTAACATCCCATAGCTCACATTGGCTAAGCGTGATTTGGAAGAGCACAGGGCTGCAAATCCCTCAGGGCTCCTTCTCTTCTTCAGAGCTGACAAAACTTGCCTCTGGGGAGGGCACAGCTTAACCCTGGGGATCAGAGCCAGGGCAGCGACCACAGTCAGAACTTCTAATTTCCACACTCTGTGACAAGATACCAAACAGCCTTTCACAGAGGCTTCCAGGACATACCAGGACACAGAAACACAGCCAAGCTGTGGTGTTTTTGTTGTTGTTGTGGCCTTAATGTTTGAGCTTAAAAATTTCAAGGGGATCCCCATCTCTTCCCTTCTGGGATCAGAGCCAGGGCAGCGACCACAGTCAGAACTTCTAATTTCCACACTCTGTGACAAGATACCAAACAGCCTTTCACAGAGGCTTCCAGGACATACCAGGACACAGAAACACAGCCAAGCTGTGGTGTTTTTGTTGTTGTTGTGGCCTTAATGTTTGAGCTTAAAAATTTCAAGGGGATCCCCATCTCTTCCCTTCTCTTCTG